TCTTCAAGCCTTTAAGACCCCAGATGCTATATCTTTTGATAGCTGGGCACCATTAGCTTTCTGTACCACATTTGCTTATGCACCCGCTTTTGTCTTCAGCGATCATGCTGGGAAGGTGAGCATCACAGAATGCCGGATTATTAGAACAAAGTGTTCTTGCGTTGAGGGAATACTTGAGTAGAGGCCCAATGTCCATCTGTTACTTTAATACTAAACCTATAAATATATGCACATAGACCTATTTCTCCATTGTAATGTATAAAAATATTTACATATGTACATGCCTGTATTTAGACCTTTATAAATGTCCTTTGCCTCCTATTTCCTTCCTCTATTTCCTTTTACTTTCCTCTTGTCCCACTATCATGTTCAGCCTTCATCTGGGTTTCAGTAATTCCTCTAGGTTACATTGCACTTGATCAAGCCCTACCAGGCCTCCTACACCCTCCTCACCATTGATTTTGGATCACTGGTTGTTCCCTTGTCCCTGGGTTTGTTAACATCCACTTCCTCCACCCCCCCCCCACCCCCCTGAGACTGTACTTCTTTACAGGATGAGAAAGCCTCATCTTTCTTCCTCAGAGCTTCTGGTGGTTTCAAGCCACTGACCTTGTGGTTAGCAGCCCAACACATAACCAGTACACCACCACGGCTCCTATGTATCACAAAGCCCTCAATAAATTTATCGAAAGCATAACGGGTCACCAGGATGGTGAATACACAGATCCTTCAGATCTCTCTGTTTCAGTGTCTCTCATTAACCACCCCTGATGAAAATGTTAAATTCAGATCTTTACACATTGAAGATTTAGTGGAGAGGAAATAAGCCATCAGGGAGTGATGACAGAGGGCTAGCTTAACAGTTTGAGCACATGGACACTCACATATACGCTGTTGCTAGCTGCCCCTGAGTCAGATCCCATGCACAACAGAACAAAACGTTAGTCCCGAGCCATCTCCACCATCATCCTTATGTTTGATTCCCCTGTGGGGCTGGGGTCCAACTCTGTCCGCCCGTCTCATTGAGGGTCCCCCAGTTTTCACAGATCTCCTGCATCACCAAACAGGATGGACTTTGTTAGTAGCCGTTCTGACTGATGTTGTGTCCAAAGCCGAGTCATCCTTGCTCTTAAACAGCATCCTGGTTTCATTTCTTCCAAGGCTGATTTATTTGCTCTTCTGACCGTCCATGACATAGTCAACAGTCTCCACCAATATGAATACATCAGCACTGCTTCTGCCTTCCCTATTCCCGGTCTCATTTTCACGTGGGTATGAAATGATTGGAAAAAGCCATAGCTTGGGTCAGGCACCCCTTCATTATCACAGAGATATCTTTTCATTTAAAACTTTGAAGAGGCGGGGTTACTTTGTTTGTTTTCTGGATTTGCCCAGTGAAGTGTGTCATTTGATTTCTTGACAGGCGCTTCTATGGATGCTGATTTCTTTTTTCCATCCAAGCCTTGTTCATGAGAACAGCCCAGTGGGCTCAGAAATGGTCTGTCTCTGGAATCTTTTCTTTGCTCTGTGTTTTCTTTTCCAACCCTGTGTTGTCCACAGATCTATGGCTTATTTATCACTGCAAATATAACTTGTACACAGATGTTGACCAGTGAAGCTATCAGGGCTTGGCCTTTTCACTCTGAGATTCTTTTGAAAATACAAATTGCATTTCTTTAATCGACATAGGGCTATAGAGATGATGAGGCTTTCTACCGTGTAGAGCTTGACAGTTTCAGAAACCCATTGGACTGTCCTATATGAATTGGAATCAATTCAATGGCGGTGAGGTTTGAGACTCATGCTTGGATGCATTTTAGTAGTTGGTGTCTTCCAAGAAATGTCTGCGTTTCGTATAGGTTACCAACTTTTTAAGCTACATTTTGCATCATTTACTTTATCCTCTTCATATCTGTAGTCTCTGTAGTGATGCCACAGCTGTCATTCCAGATACTGGTGACTGTGTCTCCTCTCCTCCCGCTGTTCCTCCCCCCCTTACTTTTTCTCCTTTTCTGATCAGTGTGGTTAGAAGTTTATCAACTCTCTGCGTTCATTTGATTTTTGTTATTATCTTTTGTTTTCTGTTTCATTTATTGCCACTCAGATCTTGAATATTTCCTTTTCTCTGCTCACTTGGGGTTTAATGTGCTCATCTTTTTATGTTGCTTGAGGTGGAAGCTGAAGCTGTTGATCTGAGATTTTTCTGCGTTTCTTTTTTTCCTCCCCCCTATGTTTATAAAGTTGAGCCTCATTAATGCTTTAAATGTCTCCCTAAGCTGTCTGCTAATGGCATCCCTTACATTTTAATATGCTATGCTTCATGTTGCACAATCAATTCTAGACAAACAATATGTCAACAAACAAGAAGGACTTTGCTTTCTAAGCTCATGATGTGTTGGAGAAGATAGGACATTAATTAGGGGAAGGAGGAAGTCTGGCAGCCACATTCTGACCCAAGCTGCCTAGGCTTGCCCTCGAATCAGAGACCATATAATAATTGCAGACAGATCTTAGTCTCCGTCTGTTCTCAGTTCTGCCTTTATTTTATTATTTAAAAAATAATTTTATTAGGGCCACATACAACTCTTATCACAATCCATACATACATCAATTGTGTAAAGCACATTTATACATTCATTGCCCTCATCATTCTCAAAACATTTACTCTCCATGTAAGCCCCTGGCATCAGCTCCTCATTTTTCCCCCTTCTTGCCCGCTTACCCCTCCCTCATGTATCCTTGATAATTTATACATTATTATTTTGTCATATCTTACACTGTCCGACATCTCCCTTCACTCACTTTTCTGTTGTCCGTCCCCCAGGGAGGAGGTTATATGTAGATCCTTGTAATCAGTTCCCCCTCTCCACCCCACCTTCCTGGCGTCGCCACCCTCACCACTGGTCCTGAAGGGATCATCCATCCTAGATTCCCTGTGTTTCCAGTTCCTATCTATACCAGTGTACATCCTC